TAGGATTAACTGAAAAAGAACGAGGGGTGTCAGACATTTACCACCAAGAATAAATATGCATGTAGGTCTTTTTTCCCATTCTTTCCCCTTAAGTCAAACCCTCTCCCACGTTAACCCTACCTTGAAGTTATAGAGACTTGAATGCTCTGTTCATTGTGTGTTTCTCCATGTGTGGTTAGAGTATACATTAGGTGCAACATATATTCCTGTGTCAAAACATGCTAATAGCCTTATATAATTTATTAGTTGCTTCATTGAACCATTACAGTGGTTATGGTTTATAGTTGACTTTATACGAGTGTACTGCATTTAATCTTTTAGCCATCTTGGATCAGGTTTATAAAGAAACGCTATCTGGCCTTACAAGAAAGTCCTCTTCTATCTTAGGTGGCTTGTTTATTGTGAACTTCTTTTTATCATAATATAGTTTGTTTGTAATCCTAACTGTTATGAGGGGGAAAATTTGGTAAGCTATGTATGTAGGGTACCTAATGTATTTTACTCCATCTGTATTTGGGGGTGACATTGGTTCTTTTCTATCTGATTTGCCTATTCCCTGTGATGATCTGCTCCCCATTTATACAAGTTATGACTGATTTTTTTTTTTTCTGGCTGATCGGTGTTATTGTTGCAGGAATTTGAAAATCGCCTCCAAAAGCCACAAAATGTGCATGATGTTGGGTCAAGGTTTGAAAGAGAAACTGCACTGATTCCCTTTCTACTGAACAGAAAGATCAAGCAGCTTATGGGCAACGGAAATCTACAATGTGGCCCTTGAAGGAATCACACTCAGAAGGCTATTCTGCCCCCCTTGTTGGTTGCCTACAAGCACAAGTTCTTCTCTGGCCAGGATGGGAGGTCGTCCATCTGTGGTTCATCTCATAGTGGGGGCCTCAGGTTTTGGGGTTTTGTCAATTCAGCGGTGGGATCTCCCGGAAGCTTGGGCAACAAAGGTTTCAGTCTGCAAGAGCTGGATCACCTCTGGACAGTCAGCCATGCTCCAGCGTCCTCCATCACCTTCGTTACCGGCGCATCATCCCCATCAAAACTTGCAAAATTGTCTGAGCAGGACTATCCTCATGTTCAGTCCCTGCCTAACCTGATTTAAAAGCATCTCCCTTCTCAGGACATTTGAACAGTGGGGCCTATTAGCCGCTCTAGTAAGGATTCCTTATCCATGCTGCATTCTAATAGTCACCTTGGTAACTTGCAAAAATTTCAGCCCCAAGACTTGAAGGGTTCATCTCCTGGAGGCTCTTCTTTTCAGCAAAGCCGTCACTATCCTCTTACACAGCCACTGCAGGCCGGATCCTAAGCACCTGAACCTTCTGGTCTGTCTCCAAGCCACTTCTGCGTCAATTTCTAATTTTGGAACTCCCTCAACGTTAAATGCATCTGCATCAAATACTTCTTGATGGAGAACCTTCAGGACAATCAAGCACGAGTACATTGTTAGCTGCTGTCTTGAAGACGTGGTATTCTTTCTAACTCCTCACTAGGTGCCTAGCTAATCATACTTTCCAGGACAGGACAAAGCCATCACAGTCGATATTCAACCCCTCTGCCAAGTGGGCCTCCACCTACCCTGGTTACCTCCTCAGGACCCAGGGCTGTGTCAGAACTCTATCAGTGTCCTGCTTCCTGTATAAGTCATCAGCTTCAGCAATGGTTCCCATGGAAGGTAAGAACCACCACCACTGCCACCTGGTCCTCCACCTTCATCTCTTGCGGGTAGTACATCACACAAACTTCCAATGTTGAAAGCAAGTCTTCAAACCCTATTTCAAATCTGTTGAGCTCATTAGTTGCAAAGGGTCTGATATCTGCATCAAAGAATGAGTCACCATCTCCCTTGGCACTCCAAATGCCCACTCAGACACAGAACAAAAGCCCAGGGGTCTCTTCCCAGTATTCTTGCACCATGTCTTCGTGTCCAAGTTCATCTAGCATTCCTCCAACTTCCTCATGGATGAGCATCTTTTCCAGAACCTGCTGCTGAAGTTCGGTTGCTGTACCTCAGTCCACTTCGCGAGATGGAAAATCTCATAGGTTTGGAGTTTAAGACAGATATAATCCGTGAATTTCATCAACTGTGATCAATAGATTGTTTTGATGACTTACCGCATAGCTGCAGCATATGTGGTCTTCGACTTAAACTCCAAGAACACTTGATAGACACTTGGAGTGGCATGCTTTAAGGTGGTCTGGACCAGATGCTGTAGTTAGAGGAGTTTTTTTAGGATGTGGGACATGACTGGGTTGCGGAAGCGCGACTTCCAATAGGGTTTTAGACTTCCATTCTGAAAGAGTCTGGTAAAATAATGGACAAGGGTGAGCCTATGGTTCCGCAGATGATAATGAATGTGCATGTGTTTTGTGTGGTGAGCTTTTTGAAGATTATATTATCAAGAAGGGTGATGGATGTTCAAAGAAGCGGTATATATGACTCACCCTGATCAAGGACGTGGGGCAGAAACAAAAGATGAGAGTGCTGCTAAGGCCCATAGTTCATGCAATTGTATATCAGAAAGTTCGTCTCATGACTTGGACTTATTAGTGGGGTTAAAATGGTTGATTCTTGACTTTAAGATTTCAGCGATCTTGACTCCAATGTCTTTTCCTGCATCTTTGATTGGACCTTGCCATTTTATGTATAACATGTGTAGTGTCAAACTCCACATATTCCTTTCTGTTTCCCTCATCTTCATCACCTGATTTTCCCTTTCTTTTTTTTATTTTTTTAATTTTTTTAATTTATTTTTTTTTTATTATAGGAAATGTGATCCGTAATGCGTTAGAGTGAGAGAAACCATGGAAGTCTGGCTGTGATCACTAGAAGCTGAATTCAGGTTTTCGTTAGATAGCTGAAGTGTGCATGGTCCTTTCATGCTAATTTTGTCATGCCCCAGAATGGTGGTGAGAGCATCTCACACGTGCTGCCGTCTTTTTCTTTTTTTCTTTTTCTTTTCTTTTCTCTTTTTTTTTTTTTTTTTTTTTGTTTTTTTATTTATAATCTGAATAAAATACATAAATGCCAATATTCGTTTATCTCGCTCTCTTCGCTAATGTGGTTGATGTGTTCTTTTATAATATTCATCTTTTACCAAAGCGGGGTTGCACATGGTACCGGCATTTAAACATGAGGCAAAGCACTCTGATCCACAACCATTCAGCTTCAAATTGGCAGATTGTGTATCATTAAAATATTTTATGTAGCCTCCTTTTCCTTTTCTTTTTCATGCTTTACTTTTAATTGGTTTATGTGGATGTAGCTTTTGTAGTCGACCACTGTTTTGAGTTAAATTGTTTGGAGACAATGATGGTTTATGCTATTTACTTACCCCGCATAAGAGAGTAACATTTTCTTCTTGATGGGTCTTAAATGTGTTACTTTTTGGGTGCGTTTAGATTATATAATGTTTTATTATAGGAATGTTATATTTCACTTTAAAAATTATTGGGAATGTTTATGGAAATGTGTTTGGTTAGGAGGATAAATAGGTAGCTATGTTATATAAATTACTAAATTATATTCTTTTTTAAATATTAATATAATATTATGTTTTAAATAATTTCTTTTAATCTTTTATATGTGAAATTTTGTTAAAACATTTCAGACATATAAAATTTTAATTTGTAGCAAAATCACTCTTACCCATCGCAAGCTATTGTTGTCACTTGTCAGTTGGTCACCATCGTCAGAAGTCAACAAAATGGCTCACGATTGGTCGTATATGGTCGATTGTGCATCTACAAAGCTATTTTTCGACTATGGATCATAGATTTGTGGTTGTTTCACAGTCATTGTTTTAAAACTCGACCTATTGTGAGACCTAGTATGGTGATTGGGTCACAAGTTAATCAGTTTAATTGGTTGGACCGATGACGTCAACGGTTCAACCGGTTGGACTGATGATGTCAGCGTTGATTTTATTTTTTAAAAATTGTCAATTAATCCCTTAAATTTCAGTATATAAAAAATACCCCTAAAAATTTAAATTAGTCCTTAAAATTTTTTATTTATTTCGAAAATGCCCCAAAAAATTACCAGTTAATCCATAAACTTTTGACATATCTCCAAAACACTCCTAAAAAATTATAAATTAGTCTCTATAAATTTAAAATATTACAAAAACCTCCTAAAACCTGAATCGGACTGGAGAAGTTGCTAGGTCCTGGTCCGATAGGCTGAGTTTTAAAACAATGTTCACGGCCACTACCGGCTAGATCCTATCGGTCGTGCGTCATTGTGGCGATTTACGTCGACAGCCGGTGGTGGTCTTGGGTGATTGAAATTATTTTGTTAACTTTTAAACTTTTTTGTGGTTGGGGTGTTTTAGCTAAATTTTCAAATGTAGGGAGGTTGGGTAATGGTTATTTGGTAGGCATTTGAGAGAAATTGTGTCCGAAATGATATATTATTTGTAAATCAAACAACAAAATCTTGTAAAATAAACGAAGATTACCTTTATTATCTTATATAACTCGATCCAAACGCAGCATTTGCTTTTTGGTTCATTTGTGAGCCAAAAATTATGTGCATGAAGCTGAAGATGTGAATTGTAGTATACTTGGATGTTTCCTTAAAACAATTTCATTACTTGTATTGTGCCAAGGCCCAAAACCTAATATTTTTCAATTAACAAAAACACATTGATTTTTGTATTGTTTATGTAGAAGTCTAAAGAGTGCAAATGGATTCAATTTGAGGTTAAAACTTACAAAATTGAATGCTGAATCTGGGTTTAATGATTTGCTGAGGTACCCAATAATGGAATACGTCAATCCTGATTCTCGAAGACAAGACGACCAAAAAGTGTAGTCAAACCAAAGGTTTTATTATTTTGTTTGATAAACAATTCCTCTAAGTCCCCTATTCTATGGTAGTGGTCAGTCTTTTTCTAATTCGTGACTCTTCATTTTCTTAACAAGATGATGGTAGTAACATTCATAGTTTGAGTGGATTATGTATTACATACAATTTCATATTTAAACACAACTTCTCTACAAAACACTCTTTTTTTTTATTAAGGGAGGTTTTATGATGAAACTCCAGTACATATTCAAGATTAATTCTTCAACTCAAGGCTTGTTATGTTGGGTGTAAATATAATCCAAGTGAGCTTCTGCAATCATCCTTCTCTTTAAGCATTCCTCATCCTTTTCATCACAACCCTCCCTCTCTGAACCCATCAGCTACACAAATAATAAAAATTACCCATTAAGAATTATAACAACCATCAGAAATCAAAATCACTAATAAAAAAGTTACTACCTTCATGAGATCTTCAGTAACCTCTTTGAACGTAGTTGTATGAAGCTTCACCTCCTCTTCACCTGTAAATTGATGACTTAAAATCTTACTGAAGATGTTAAAAAAGTAAGCTACCAAGAATAGGAGGTACCTTGTTTTTGTGCAAGTGAACGTGCAGATATTAAGTGGGATAATAGGAGAAAAAAGATGAGAAATACATGAAAACTCTGCTTCATAGTCATGAATAATGATTATGAGGTAAAGAAAGAAAGAAGATTATTGTAAAAACTGGTGGTGGAGATGAGTTGTATAAATAGAGCATGAAAAACATGGAATGGGAGTTACAAAATACTTTTCTTTTGTTTTTTGTGCACCCACTACTTCCCTATCCCTTTTTCGTTATGCGATAAGAGAGAATCATACCACAGTAAAATTTCTTTAATAAATATATAAAAAAGAGTGAATGACAATTTCCCACCCAAGGTTTGTCCTAATTACAGTCGACAACATATATCGTGACATTCTAAGGCAAACTTTGGTTGTCATATTTCTAATCATTTAGAAACCCTAGCACTTCATGAAGTCAGTCGAAATGTATATGGTTATCGACATTAACTTTTGAGAAGTTTGTATATTACATCGGTATGTGGTGGCTCAACAAGCAACCAAGTTATTTTGCTATTATTAGGGGGAGCAGTGACCATGGTAAGCAAAATTTTATAGTGGCTATGTACTGGACAGATGTGCATTATACTCATTTTCCCTTGACCAGGTTTTGCCCCATTAGGTTTTCCTAGCAAAGTTTTAACGAGGCAGTCTTCAACACGTCCAACTCATTTTACAAGTCATCAAATAATTGTATTTCTTTGCTTTTGTTTTTGTCCTATGTGTTTTTCCTAAGGTTAAATGCAATTATCTATAAGTGGTGGAAATCTAAAAGAGTGCTATGACATGTGTGGATTATTCCACCACTAATACCCCATGTACAAGGAGTATATAGCCACAAGTTAACACATGGAAAGGTGAAGACAAGTGGAAGCATCAAACACATATTTGGTGGCTTGTTTCTACTGTTGAGATGGGCAGCCAAACTTTTGGGTCACTATAATATAGACCTGGCAAAGTGTTACCCTACCCGCTGGTAAATAGGTACCCAGTCCAAACGGGTGGGTACAGGTAACACCATTAATTACCCGTCTGAAGTTTACTCGTACTTGGCATGCCCGTGAAAATTGCAGGCAGGCGTGATACCCACAAGTGCCCTCATTTACTTTAAAAAAAAAAAGTCAAAAACCATAAAAGCATTTCTCTCTCACCCTGCGCGGCCATCACTCGTTAAACTCCACCCCTCTTTTTCTCTCTCTTTCTTCATCAATGCTTCCGTCATCTTCCATTAAACTCCACCTCTCTTTCTTCATCAATCCTCTTTCTTTCTTACACAATCCAACTCTCCGTACAATCTTCCATTAAACAAGTCTCCTTTTCTCTTTCTCTTTGTTTGCTAAAGACAAACTCCATTTAGGTCATCTTCCATTAACTCCACCTATATTTTTCTCTCTCTCTTCATCAATCCTTTTTCTATACACAATGTCACAACCCAACTCTCCATACAAATCCAACCAAACAAGTCTGCCTTTCTCTTTCTCTCTGTTAATAGCCAAAACAAAAACTCAAAATATCCAAGAATGGACTCACAACACCGCAACAACAATAGTAGTACAACTACACAAGTGAGCTCTTCATTTGTTTTACTTCTCACCTTTCCTCTTCCTCTCCATGAAAATCGCTCTAAATCAATCCTAAGTCCCGGCTGTGCTAGAGATTCTTCCCATATCTCCCTTTCCACTTCTCTAAGTCTGAGATTAGAAAAATGGTAGTATCAAAAGCGGCCAAGCTTCACCCATGTCTTGGCTTCCAATGGCAAGAAACGTGGGTGCTCTTTTGAGAACCCTTAACCTTCCTCTCCCAAGAAACAAAAAATTATAAATAAGAAACAAGGCAAGAAAAATAAGGGCTAGATCCAAGAGTAAGAGAGGTTAGTTTTAGAAAAAGGTGACCCGTGGGTCGACCCATACCCGCACGGGTGAGTACGGGTCATGCATTTTCTTACTCATGAACCCGTACTCGTTACCTATAGCTACCGGCCCGCTGTTTGCCAGGTCTACTATAATAGGGCCCTCTTCTTTTTATATTAACACACCACCTGAATTGGTTATTCGTAGGGGTGAGCATGAGTAAAGAGTAGAACCAGAACCGACAGGTACCCAGTAGGAACCAGAACCGACGAGTACCTAATAAAACCGAACCAACTCGATTAGGGTCTGGTTTTGGTTTTGGAAAATTGGAATTGAGAATTCTCAGGTCCAGTTTCGATTCCTATAATACTGGAATCAAGAACCAAACCGAGGTGCAAATACCTGGATAGGAACCGGGTTGAGTTATAATTTTTGTAAACTATTGGGGTATATTTGTCATTTTTTAAAAAGTAGAGTGGTAATTGAAATTAACCTGGGTACTCGAAACCAAAACCTATGTTTCAAGTTCTGATTCCAAATCTGGTTCCAAATCTTAGGAACCGGCAGTTTCGATTCCTTCAAAAAGTGTAAGGTACCTGGAACCGCTCGTCTCTAGTTATTCGAGAAAGGAAAGAAACAACATTCTAGCCCCTTTGACTTTTGCTCTATTCTCTTTGAGTTTGATATTTATATTATTTTAATTATTCTACAACTTGAGCCATTTTGACTAATGAGACATATAGATCTTGCAAATTACATTGCATGGGATAGAACTATAAAATATACCAAATATAAGTTATGTCTATTGTATTTTGTATCGTAAAAAATATTTATCTAATAATTCACTTAGTAATTTTTATAAAATGTTTAATTATAATTTATTTTATATAATAACCTATAAATATATAATATTTTTTAATTTATATGAATTATATGATTTATCAAAATAATAATGTGAACATAATAATTAAAATGAAACTAAAATATATTAAATACAGTAGAACCTCTCTATAGTCATAATGTGGGACCAATTAAATTTATTACTATAAGGAGGTTTAATTTAATAGAAGTGTAGTTATAAGAATTATTATTTTGATTTCTTATTTTATAATTCATGTTTTAGTAATATTAGGATTTCAATTCATTGTTTTAATAGGATTAGGATCACAGAAATGGATATCAAAGTCACTGTAAAATTGAGTGATCAGATTCGACAACTTCACTACACTGATCAAATGGATATTTTATCTCCTCATAATCCAAATGGCAACTGGTCATGTATGTTTTAACTGAAAAAAAAATCATTACTAGATATATAAGAAAGGAAAAGTAATCTGAGGATGTAGCACGAAAATACCAAAAATTTCATGCCAATAAGCTCTAAACTGCTTGAGAGTTAGAAATATTTTGGCTTCAATAAGAAGTTGTCCATGCTGATAGCTTATTAGTACTCGCGAGATAAAAGATTAGTGACTACTAAAAGTTATTTCTATATAATATTCACTATAGAGAGGTTTCACTGTAATATGATATGAACATCTTTTCACTTGTATTAAATAGTATATAATATATATCCATCAATCAATTATAAGTTTATACCACCACTCTATTATTTCATTAATATTTAAGTTTATTTAATTTTTCCTCTTAGGCTTCCGTAAATAACCATTCCTCTTAGGTATCATACATTAAAAATCCTATGTCATTAGTATTTTTTTAGAGTAATACTATATATACACATTTTTATATAACTTTCTTATACAACATTATATAGCAAAATATGATTGGTTAATTTTAATTAAAAGTAAGCTTTTACCCAATAATCTTTTGTCGTATAATATTGTATGAGAAATATTGTACGTGTAGTATATTCATTTCTTTAAGGTTAACGTAGTCTGTTTAATTTAACTAATTAATAAAATGATTTTTATAGGATATTTTGTTAATATTTTTATTCGTGGTCTTGGTGAGGTGGAATTACGTCTCTCACGGTGCCTTGAATCTTGATAGAGAGAATCCTTGACTTGCGCTGCCTTGACAACTGGGCCAACCCAACCATAATAATGAAGTCCGCATGCTAACCAGCCCAACCCAAACTAATCCACATCCTCGCCTGCGCTCAGACTCTCTCGCCTCCCCACCTCAAGAAAATCAAACGCTCTCTACATTGCGCCTATTATTATTATTATTAAAAAGGGGATGATTTCTCCACTTAATCGAATCAATAAACAAAATTTCTTCTCACTCTCTTCTTCTTGTGTTCTTCACACTCTATCCTCTCACCTAATTTCCCAATCTGCCCCAAAATTTCCCTTCAATCCTTTCGCCTCTTGTAATTTAATCTTTTTTTTTTTTTTTTTTTTTTTTTTTTTTATAATTAAATTATCTTCTCTTTACATGTATCAGGTTTAGGGTTTTATCTTGATTTTCTTTGATCTATGCAAACTAGGTTTTAGGGTTTGTAATTTTTTTCTATTGACAGATATTGTACTTTATTTTAATTTCTTGAATTGATGATCTCTATGTAATGATGAGAAGAATATAAAGGAGAGTTTATTAGAGATTAGATGAATCAGGGTTAGGGTTCTTTTTTGTTTATTTTATTTTGCTATTGTATTTCAATGGAAATGGAGAATCGCGCGAGATCATTCGATAGATCGGGTTTAGTTAAAAAACCGCGATTAACGGAAGATCCGACCCGGAGTTTTACTCAGAGACCCCTGTAACTCAAAGATTTAGTACAAGTAGGGATTCGGAGGTTCATGAACGAGCTGGTGGCGCGTATCAGCCACAGCAGCCGCACCAAAGCTGGTGAGCCAATACAAACGGCGCTAGCCGAACTGACCTTCAATTCGAAGCCGATAATAACGAATTTGACTATAATTGCCGCGAGAATGTTCATGCCGCGAAAGCAATCGCGGCCACGGTCTGCGCTAACATTCTTGAGGTGAAATCCCAGTTTTTTGTAGCTGTTTATCTCTCTCATTGTTGTTTGAATTGAATTGTACAGAAATTATTATTGCGATTAAAAAGGAAAAAAAAAAAATCAGTGTTACTGCTTTAATCTTGGGTTTTTAAGTGAAATAGAAGATATATAATTGTAACTGAAAGGGGGATCAATGGAATGTTCTGGGTTTTGTAGAAAGTGTTTGCATTGGTGTGGAATTGATGAGTATTTTGCAAATTTGAAGCTTTTGAGTTCATTTGTGCAAATTAATTCAAGTGCTTTTGTGCGTTATGTGATTTTTGGAGTTGTATCCGATGTGAGGATATGAAGGAGATGTGCGGTAATGTGTAAATGTGTTAATCTCTAATTGATGAATTATAA